TATATATATATAAGGAAGATGTATATAGGGAAGCGAAGAAGCGAAAGAAATTGCACGCGATCGAGGGGGATGAACGTTTGACGGGAGGAGAGAAAAATGAGGGAAAACGAAAGTAAGGTAAAAGTCGGTTTGCGAATTTGAAAGAGCGAGCTGGTGGTATATATTTGGAGCAGGTCGATCAGGTTGTCACAGAAGCGCGAAGATTAACGTCGGTAATGGCGGAGGGACGAATTTTTCTCATAACTGTCCACGTGTGTATGAAGAATATAGGGAATCCAGTGGAAACGCGGCGTCCACGTGTGTGTCGACACGGGAGAAGAAGACGAGCGAAAACTGCTTGATATGCAGCGCGATGCCCGGCTTGACTGACGCTTCCGAGTTGCGAATAAAATTTTCATGAATTTCTATTAGCTTCGTTTTTCTAGACGTGCCCCGGAGACTTAAAAAAGCTCCGCCCGGTTGATGGCGGAGGGGAAGAAAGAGCGCGAGTTTGGCCAACAATTCCAATATCAATTTTATCAATTTCCGTTTTTCCAAACGATGCGCCGAATTTTCTTTCGTTCTTTGATAGCGAACGAAGTGAAATTTCCACGAAACTCTTCAATTTTTCAGGCTTACTATTAATTTAATATCGCGTTTAAGAATCGATCATTTTCACAAAATAGGATGTATATTTAAATATTCTGAGATACGTTAATGTTACTACGAATTGATTGGAGGATATTCGAAAATGATACTGAAAATTCGAAAGACGTGTCGCGGTTGTTTCCGTGATCTTTGAATTTTGACGTACGAACACGGGTAAGGGAAAGTTTCCAGAAAGTTTTGCGGTTGGCCCAGAGCAAGTCGGAGCCCACCAAAATTCGGAGACCCCGTAGGGTGAAGGCTTAACGCTACTCCAAGTTTCACTTTAATCCGAAAAGCCGCGGTAGGCCGGCGAAATTGATTTCGAGACACTAGCGGTACCACACCTAGTTATGCCTATTAAACGTGACTCTTGTTGTCCAAACAGCGATACGGACTTAAGCAAACGGTATTTCTGGTTTGAAACATCGCGTGGAATCGTTCTAGGAAGAGAATTTCATCCCGTTTAATTCATTATTGTGACAAATTATGTCAGAATTGTCAAAGAGAATTTAATCAAAGATGAAATTCATTCAATTCGAAACGCATTGCGCATCGTGAAGGCTTGTGCTCAAGGCTAAGAGACGCAAGGATTATTGGGACGAGAAGTAGGACTTACTTGGACTCGACTTTCCGTGAGGCCGATTTTCACAGCTATCTCCTCTCTGAGAAAGATGTCCGGATAATGGGTCCGATTGAAACACCTTTCGAGCTCGTTCAGCTGGGCCGGTGTGAACCTCGTTCGGTGCCGTTTCTGCTTGGCAGGCTTGTCATCGCCTTGCCCGATCGCTGCCGCGTTCCCTACAACAACAAATTTACTTCTCAATAACGGATAATACAAGATAAACGATTCGAAAACGAACGAATTCGACGATTGAGACAACTAATAATTAATTATTTTAAATTTACCATCCTTGTCGCCAAATTTCCCAACTTTCTTGTTTAATCTTTTACACGATCTCTTACACGATCATTTCACGCACGCGCGAAATTTAGAAATTTATTCTACAGCGAAACGGTATCATCGGATCTAAGGCAAAGGCGAGCCCCCCGATAGTGAAAAAGTATAAGTACGTTGGAACACGGTAAAACGCTTACCCGTGCCAGGCATGGTCATGATTAATTCCTGATGTAGCGTGAGGCCACCGCCGGCAGACAATCCGGTCCCCAAATTCACTCCCAGCACGCCGTCCAACTTCTCGTGCCTCTTCAGGTCCTGTGCATGAAGATCCTTCGCTCCTGCGAACGCGAAACGCGAAAAAAAAAAAACGAGCCATTACAGTTTTCTGTTAGCCCCGCGCCCGCCACCGGCCCCTCCTCCTCCTCCTCCTCCTCTTCTTCCTCCTCCTCGCGCTCACTCCCTTTTCTGCTCTATGTAGTTTAAATTTGTATAGGAGCAGAAGCTGAGTGGCCGATGGTGAGGGGAGCACGGACCACTTAGCACGAAGGTGCGAGAATCGTCACCGGCCTCCGGCTTCTAGGCGAGCAAACACACACACACGCGCACACGCACACAAACACGGGTGCCGTGCACGCACGAACACGTGTTGGCGCGCGCGCGCAGCCAGTCACGGCTACGTGGTCGTAGAAAATTTCTAGAATGCGTAGGAGGAGGAACGGCCGCGACGGGGAAGGAACACGATGGATGATCGCGCGGCCATCGTTGCGCTTTGTCAAATTTGCTTACGTAATCGACTAAACTAGTTTCCTACCAGTTCCTCCAACCGCAAGATCTAGGGATTTTTTTCGAAACGGGGGATTCGAAGAAACCGAACCGGAAGTGGAGGATTCGTCAAGTGGATCGAATTCGAATTCGGACGAGATACGAGGATGATGAATATTGGGAAAGTAAGAGGGAATTTTAAAAATCAACCACGCGTTGAACGATGAATAAGTGGGAAAATTAAATTAGAAAATTACGTAATGTATATGCAAATATTTTTGGTGGAATGATCAGGATCGTCCAATCGGTATATTTCTCTCGATATCTCGGAGACCGTTAATCGTCGGATCGTACATCACAAGCGTTATGAAGTCACACCCGTTTAGAACGAAACGATAATATAGTAACCAAGGAATTTTATTGGTTTCATAAACATGGTGACCGGTCCCGGCAGTTTTGCATCGATATTTTATAATCCGGTCTGCTAATAGTGATTCATTCCGTGAGTCTGGTGGATCCGCGCGTACCTATCCAAAATGCTTAATGCAACCGCACATGCATAATAACGTTAATAGTCTGGAATTTGAACGACGTCGAAAGCACTGTGAAAATAGTTGGAAAATTTCGACGCGGCATATTTCCGCGAGAAATCGAACATCGTCGCCGCTTTTTGCTAAGTTATGCAAACGCCTGGCTGAAAATCCAATCGTTTTCGTCGCACCGATATTCGCTACATCGTGCACACGTTAATATAATTTGTAGCTATACCCGATGAATATATCGACTGTCGCCAGTTCCACCATGAATCGTCCGCGATAATTTTGGAAGTTTCTTCTGCCCCATCGCGGGCATTATTCATGATACCGCCGAAATTCTGTTTCCATTATTCTTTTGTTCCCGTTTTTTTGTCAAACTATTTTCGACCGACGAGACTCTCCAATATTCTCCAAAAAGAGGGGGAGGGGAAAAGAGAAGAAATGACAAAACTATGAAGAAAATCCGATGACGATTCGAAAATTAGATCTCGTCCGAAAAATCGCAATCGTGGATGAATGTGAAATAATAGACGAATAAATCAGGGAATAAGAAGTTGATCCACGATTAATGGAATCGAAAAGATCATAAAGCACCTGAGATATCTTTTCGATGTCGAACAGTGCGGTTACTTGGACGAAAGGACTGCTTGGCGACGACCACCAACGTGCAAACAACCGTTTACTCAATGGAAACTTGGTATGAATGAACTTTATGACTGGTCTTTATTTTCGTTTTACTTTTATGGCCGTTGATGATTTTATTTCGATTTTACCGGGCAAGACCCGGTATTTATGAGCAAGCCTGCCTCGCCCGTCTAAAATTCGGTGGTAGGCTCCTTTGATCTCTTCATCGTGGTTTTTTTTGTTTCTGCGAAAAGAGAGGCGAAGAGAGGAAGAGAGACGACAGAGAAAGAGAGAAAGAGAGAGAGAGAGAGAGAGAAAGAGAGAGGGGTAAAAAGAACGGGAGAAAGAGAGAACGCCGATACTGGATTCTTCCATGAATTTTCCAACAATTTTTGTCACGCAGTTGCGAAGCTTCCACTAAAAAAGAGCGCGTTGAATTGAATTGTCACTATGTGATCCGCGCCATGACCCGTGT